CTCTATCAGCTATCAACTCTATCTTTTACATTCCATTTCACAAGAAAGTACTTGGATTTCTTCGGTCTATCTTTGTAGCAATCCATATTCAATCTTAATACCTTTTTGTTTATGTGATCGTAGAAAAATTAGGGGTAAGGATCGAAATAGATGAAATTATTTAAAATTATACATATCATAAATCATTGGTATCAAACTGTCAATCTATAGCGATGAGTGAATCCGATGTAATGTTGCATAAAATCCATTTGTGTTGGAATGGAATCAATTGCGTTTAATAGCTGAGTAGAGGCGTTCACTTATGCGCTGCGCCGGCGCAGCGGGGTAAACATTTTGACACGCATGATTTATGGTGATTTACCGCTCACTAGCTGAACAATGGCTACACGAGGGAGCAACTTCCTGCTTATCGCTTCATTACGTGCACTCAATGATGCCGACGTACAAGCGCCCAGTTTAAAAGCGCCTGCACCGCAAATAAACGGCTTTCAGCTGAAATAACTAATGTCTTGCCTACTTATTGTTTCGACGTCGAGGAATGGGAACACTTAACGCGAATTTTATTTCTCGAGCACCGATGATAGATTGATGGCGTTATATCCACAACTTTCCTCTTTGATGCGGTTTCTTTTAGCTTTAATGGACTATTGGTTTTAGGTTTCATTCACGGCCGGCGTAGTGAATCAAAATACCAATATAAGTATTGTATAACTATGTTTAATATTCGTAATGTAAGGATTTTATTAATTTTATTGTGTATTTGATGTAGGTTTGTTTTTTTATGTCATAAGGTAGCAAACGAACAAGCGGCTACCTGAATTTGCAGCTAAGCGACTGCTACCCTTGATCGACGTACGAGGAGACGCACATAAAGAGGACATTTCCTCTCCTTATGCGTCTTCTCCTTCGTCAACATAATAAAGTAAAGGTATTGCAACCTTTAGCTTTTTCACATTTAAGTATATATTACTCGGTTCGTGTATAATCATGAATGAAATGAGGCAAAACATTTAATGCAAAAAATACACTATACGTAATATTTGATTTATTTATTTAATTATTACTTTACATTAACTCTTATTGATCAGTTAATACAAACAGAATGACGTATGTTTACGACTTGACTCTCTTGTGTAGCAGCACTAACAACAAGCTGCCTGTGATCAAAGCGCCGCTCCTGCAACATCAACAATTTTAAATCAAACCAAATTATTATCGCATTTTAACGCAAGCTGCCAATAAAATGGTAAGTAGCTATAAAAATTATGTGCATTACACCTGGACTGTGGTCGCTGAGTGAATGACATGAGCGGACTGAATGAATGACTTTAAGAGCAATCTTACTTATAAATGCAAAAGTTAAGATGTATGGATGTTTGTTGGAGTATGTCGCCTAAATGCAGATTTACTTTCGTTTATTTAATTCCACGCGGACAAAGTCGCGGGCAAAAGCTAGTTGTTAGTGATATAAAGTTTTTCAAACTAATATCCGAAGGTTATGGAAGGATGTTTTTGTTTTAAAATACTGTTGATGTACGTTGTAATAATTTAACTATAATCGAAACAAATTATGTTGATGTCAAATAATGCATTTCAAAATATATTACGTTTAATAGTTATATATTTTAGTTGCATATTTAAAGAACAACGAGTTGCACACATATTTGGATTCTTTGTCAAAATATAATGATGATAAACAAAAATTATGAAGGTTACAAAAACGAGTAAACATTATGGTCAAAATTTATTTGTAGCTTGAAGTGTTGCGTGGGATTTATTTAAGAGCAGTGCAATACACCGTATAATAAAGACTATGAAACTGTTTATACGGAGCTGTTATTTGTCATTTATGTTTAAAGCAATTGTACTTTATAAAACGACAAATTTATTCCGATTCAATTATTATTCGTATCATTGGTCACCAATGTCGAATACTTTCTAAAAATATCTTTATTTTTCTGGGACATTATAACAATGTCTGGTGCTTTTATAACCCAGCTGACCCACAAGGGTAATTGAGTGAATGATTTTTTATATTTCGTATTCTTTCAAGAATTGGTTATGCTATATTTAAATTATAGAGTAAGCTGGGATAGATTGTAAAATGAGTTCCGTGCCAAAGATTATATACAATATTGTCTCCGTACATTTCCATTAGCCAAAATAAATGTCTATAATAAGTTTACCAGATGGCGAGGCGACGCGCCGCGGACTGCGCGTACGGCTTGTATGTCGACACTCTGTAGTCCCGGCTGTCGTTCAACTTCTTCAGGATCCTCTCAGCCCTGGAAATGTTGACATAAAACGATTGGTTTACTTCACTGCTTGTGTTAATTTCACTCCAGAAGAAACTGTTACATTCTTGATAAAATGACCTTGAGAAGTCCTAATAGACATCATAGTACGGCACTTGAAATACTAGTCGGCATTACAGCTGAAAGTCAAGGGTATTTCAAGTTTTATGATACCCACATTAGAGAAACTCTTATGTGCATGTTATGAGAAGGGATGAATCGCATGTAACAAGAAGAACGTTAGTTATGAATATGGAGTGGTATTTCGGTAGAGGTAGACCTGGAAAGGGATGGATGGGTTGCGTGGAAGGTGACAGGATCAAGAAGTGAGTGATGACTGAGATGACGGATGATAGATATTTGGAGGATGAAAACCTGGCGCGCCGACCCTACGGGACTAGCATAAGGTGGGGGAAATTATTAAAGAAACTCTTAAGCGGAGGCAGTTTCATTGTTCTTTTTTCATTAGCTTATTCTAAAATGATTCGTTTACGTCAAGGAGTAAATTGCATTAATTATGTATTCGCACGTCATACTTACGTGAAGTGCGTGCCAGCGGCTACAAGCGCGGCGCGGCGGCCCAGCGCGCGCACGTCCGCCGCCCCGCACCCCGCCACCGCGCTCGCCACCTGCACACTGCGTCGTCATCCCCGCACTCACCCCCACCCCACCCCTAACAATGCCATATCCCAATCTATCCACGAACATCTTCACATCTCGCGATCACATTCGCAACCCAATTTTATTTATAACCTAACCTCAAATCGACCTTGACAGTGGCATGAAAAATGACCGCTCGTACGTCTCAGTAATCAAACACCCGGATGGCGTTTTAAAAACGAACCCAGCGCTAAAATATAGTTCTTTCCGTGTGACACTTGGGCATTATCAATCTGTTTTAACTGGGCGCGGGAAATATATGCTTGTGGCATAATGTGGGTGTTTCTTCACGCTTGTGTGTGTGGAGCGAGCGCTGGCCGGTCGCCAAACGTCGGCCGCATCTCCGACGGGCGTGTTTGTCAAACACTGTGTCGGCGTGTCGTTAAAAACTCAAAGCTATCCCAAACACCGTGTTGTGCGCGCGCGGTTGGAAAACGCATCAGCACAGCGCCGGCCCGGGGGACGATTATTACTACCATAACCGTTCCTTAACATACGTACTTTTGGCGCCGAAGATTGAGACAACGCGGACACAACTAGTGATGCATATTTACAACGTTCGATATAATATTCATCATAAATAGTATTGTTAAATTATTCACCTAAAAGTAGTATTGTCAGAAAGATATGCTAAAAACCATGCTTGTCAATACTACGAGCATTAATAAATGTTAACTTGACATCTATACTAATATGATGTAAACACAAACTTTGTTATGAAGTTTGACACTCATAAAATCATATTTTTGAATAACTTTTTTAATTAAAATAATTTTTAAATGTAAAATGGTTGAAGCTATACGCATATAGGTAGCCTAGAATTATACCTGGCATTAAATTAAAATGAAGTATTAAATCATATTATCGACAACAACAGTATGTAGTACATCCCTATGGTGTGTGAGGCGTGTTTACGAGGTACAACTAAAATAGTATGGCGCAGAGCTCCTTATGCAACGTCTTTATCCTGCCAGGTTTAGTGTAAACTTTGTGATAGCGATATGTTCCGGCGAGGTCGCGGCGAACGCGTTCCTTCGCTCGCACTATTATTAGTTGCTCGCAAATTATTATGATATCTGGAAAGCATCTTTTAGATATTTACTATTATTATTGCTTCTTACCTTATCGATGTTCATAATTCGCTCCTTTAGAGATTTGATGTGCAACAAATCGGGACGGTGCGTGGGCGGATCGTTTTCATCGAGGCTCTGGAATGTAATTAATACATTTAATACTAGCTTTCGCCGCGATTTCGTTCGCGTGGAATTATAAAAAGTAATAGCCTATGTGTTCTTCCAGACTATCCTCTACATCTATGCGAAATCTTATCGAAATCCGTTTAGCCGTTTAGGCTGCAAGCTCCAATAAACATCCATCCATCTAAACTTTCGCATTTATAATATTAGTAACATAAGATATCTTTGACAACCTTTTTTTTTCTTTTTTGCAGCAAGGTTTGTAAGTTATCGTTTTGGTTTTACAAAACTGATCAATATCTGAGACAGTGCAGTCATCAAGAATAGATAAATGGTTATCAGACCTGGAAAACACCAGCTTTTTCCTCGTTATTACTAGCATCGTTGACTAAACAAGCAGATTTTTTTTTATGTTTAAGATGGATGGATTGTGTAAAAGGTGATATGACCAAGAAGGGAGTGATGACCGAGATGACGGATGATGAGTTATTTGGAGGAGGAAAACTCGGTGCGTCAACCCTACGGGAGTAGGAAAAGGTAGGGGAGATTATGATTTTGTTGTTCATATTTGGTTCTTTGACCACGTTTTACTGGACAAGTTACTGATTTTTTTTATTCTGTGCG